GAACCCTTCCCTTGAGGTTTCTACGGCGGTGACGTTTTTTTCCCCACGTACGCATTGTTGGCTTGCGGACCCTTCGGGTCCAGTGTATTTTCGTATACCTTTGGGTAATTCAGCCTGTGACCACGGGAATCGATCCCGTCAAGTGTTCGACTAGTACGGACAGAAGAAGGCACTGGACAGAGAGAACGGAACGGTTTTTAATGTGAAGACAACAACAACAACAGCAACAACAACAACGCATGCCTTTTTCGCGCGCCCATCGAAACAATCTCCCAGCAGCTCGAATCCAAGTTAAATCAATCAACATCATCACCCCAGTTTTGTTTCGCTTCACCGCCCACACCGGTCTTTATGGGCACGGGACCATTGGGGTCAAGTAATGTTCTTGGCCAAACTTTCACCCAAAAAGATGCTGTTCAATTTTGTTTTCATCTTTTTCCGGAGTAAATCTTGCGTTAGTCACACAGATGTTGGCCCGAGTGGTTTGTCAAAGGCCAACTTATTTTTGGCACTTTCAAGCAAATCGTGGAAGAAGAAACAGGAGGAGAGCTTGTCTCGAACAGAGCTCAGTCGCGTCCGACGCTTCTTGTCTCCTGATCGAATAACCCGGCACCCATTTCCGCTTGCTGCGTGAGAGAATAGGCCCGTGAGTAGCAGCGTTCAAGGTTTGACCTCCGCACGCAAGTCAAAAGACGCGGTACCTACGGTTGCGTAGCTTGCTGTTGGACTTCTTAGACCCACGTGCTGTTCGAGAGCAAGCGGCACTGGAAAGAACATCAAGAAACAACCATGACCCTCGCGTGGTATCCTCTTTATGTTGTTGTGCCTGTTGTCGTCCGTTTTCGCCTGCCAGGGGTTGGCTCAGGGTGGCGACGGGAACGGAGTCTACAACGACTCGTGAGTGCTTCTCCATTCCTCGTTGTGTGTATCTACAACGAGGGAAGAGAGTGCTGCACTCTTTTCGCAGGATAAATCGAAGCAAAAGCACCGCAGCAGGGGTGGATAGGGGGGCGTCAGGGAGAGGAGCCCTTGTGTGTGTGACCACGGGTTGGAGTAAACTGCACGAATACTGTGAGCGTTGCTTTGAAGTGAAGACGAAGAAAATGCCGTCCTTGCCTCAAAGAACAACAGCCCTTGCGAAGCAAATGGACTTGTTCGAATATTTCTCCCTTCTGTCCTACGGCGCAGCAACCTCAGCGGTACAATGTACTGCAGTGTGTTTTCCAAAACTCCCCAGCCCAACGAAAGGCCTTCGGGGCTAATGCACCGTTCGCTGCACATGTGGCGTATGCGTTCGTCATCACTCTTTTTAGTGTTTGTTGGTCCCTGCGCGACGCGGTTTCGTTTTCGAACCCTATGGGGCCTCTTGTCCTGTGCTGTTGCCGCATGCTTCTACGGCCGTCCCTTCCGAGGACTGGGTTTTCCATCCCTTCTGCGGAACGGATTTTCCGTCCCTGCTATATACCACGGGATGGACATGGAAGGTCGTTCGCTGGATCACACCCCTTTATCGAACCATGTCTCGGGCTTCCGCCGGCCACGTCCAGTGATGCCAAGAACTGACGGTCGACTGCTGTTTTGTGTTTCTGTGGCGTCTGATTTTCGCTCGACACTCTTTCCTCCCGACAGGCAACCGCCCCAGGTCGATAATGGCGGGAATGACGCTGCCGGGGGGCAGAAATGGACTTACTACTACTTCTAGACCATTCTTTGGCCTTTCGACAACACAGCGGTGGTATGCATAGGGGGTGGATAGGAGTGGCCCCCCCTAGGCTTTCTCGCTGGTGGTGGTGATCGTGTGCCCTCGGTTCACCGCTACCTATCGTTTCCGGTTTGTTTTTTGTCGACGCGCAAGATGACGAGATGATGGCCGTGCTGAGCGTAGAGGGCTTTTTTGCAGATCAGACGCAAATGGGGAACAGCAACAGAGAGCCGACGGGCTGCGGGCAGGAGAGAGATGATCATTCCGTACCGGTGGGATGGAAGTTTTTGTTTGCACAATCATCCACATGGCAACTCCCTGCCCCTACAATGTGCCCCCCCCCCCCCCCTGTAGCTTGGTCCCCCGCCGCGCCCTTTGTTGCCTCCCGACGATATTGGGCGGCACTTCAAGCAGTACCCCGCCGCTTGTTTCTCCGTAGGCTTTAGGAACAGTAGTGGAAGTACTCCGGCCTAGTGCGCCGCGGGGTACGCCATTTTTATTTTTTGTGCCCGTTGTTTGCCACGCGGCGAGTGCAGGTGTGGCACGCAATTTCTCGATCTACAAGTCTCCCCCAGGCTTGAATCTTAAACAAGTCTCGCAGGCTTGTATCTTGAGAGTTTGCTTTACGTTGTACGTGTGCCACTTTCTGTTTTCGGCAACCAGAACAAGCAGTGTTATTATCTTTCTTTGTGTTTTTCCGCATTCGTATCCAGTATTATTTATTGTGTTCCTGTGTCTATCCAACCCGTAGAAATGTTTACCTTTGGTGACGTTTGATAACTTTATAGATGGGGAGAAAGGAAGGACATAATACACGCATGTTGTTAGTGATTAATGATCTTGAATCTCGGGCTTTGACACCGATGAAAGCCTTCGTGCGTTGCGTAAAAATTCCTTGTAGAGAAGATGTTTTGTGCCGATACTGGCGTCCCGGTGTATACGTCGCTGCTGCCCTGATACAAGCAACAAGGGTTGTTTTTCCGGTGACCATGTAGGTAGCGTCCGGAAGCATCTGACCGCATTAAGAAGAAGAAAGGAATCGTTTGTGCTTCTGTCCGATTGGCATGTTGTTGACCGTGAAGCCAGGTTACGATCGCGTGTGTACGTGTTGCTTGGAGCGTCCTCCGTGTCTCATACTGATCCCTCCCGGTTTCAATTCTGGGACATGGCTGCAAGGTGCGTTGCTTGTTGCCTGTGAACGGGTACGTGCTTTCGCCAAGGCCCATCCTTGGCTAGACGATTTTGATTTTTTAGCTGCAACCCGTATGGTAGGGTATGCGCGTTTTCATAGATGATAATTTTAGGGTATAATTTTCGGTAAGGTTGTTAATTCAGGTAGTTACCGGGGCACACGGAGTACCACGAGAGTGTTGGGCGGGAAAGAAGCACGACGTGCGGTTCGTTGTTGTCGCTTCTCTTTTTCTTGCTGCCGCTGCTGCCCCTCATTTCGTGTTCGCGTACTCGGAACGGGGGGCGACCTCCCTTTGTCCCAAAAGACGAAGGGGAAGTAGTCCGTGACAGCAAAAAAGTACATGAATTTTCACTTCTCGTTTGGTAACAAACCTTTTTTCCGATAAGTGGGTTTCCCCCGGAGTGAAGGATTTGTGTTCAGCGTCCAGGGACTGGTTGGTCCGATCTCGACACCTTTGGCGACGTTTCGTTTCTAGGGGCCCTCTCCGCCGTGTGCTATTACTCCTCGGTAAGGAGTTCATTCGTGTGTCGATCCGACTGACGAGAGCACCCGAAACTTGGATGCTTAGGACTGACATCGCTTTGTTGTGTGGCGTGTTTCGTCCCCATGACGGGAGATACCTTGCGTTCTGTTCACCTTATGTGCACTACTGCTGTAGCATCTGGGAGGAGGAGCGTGTACTTGTGGGGAGGGGTGGCAGGAGTTTTCGTCTCTTGTTCGTCCCCTTTGGCTTTCGAGGGCAATTCAACTCCCCGCGTTTGCTCGCACGAAAGATGAACGGTGATTGGCCTCCTCCATGAGCTACACGTCTCGATCGATGTCGTCCGGCCTCTTGCCCAACAACAATGGGGACATGGCCACAGGAAAATATATTTGATGTTTTTCAGTGTCCCTCGTTTCTAAAGAATAATACGACTCGTCATCTGCTCCTCCGTGTTCGATACTTGTATGGTACGGATAAACGGGCCATGACAGCCACCCCCCCCCTCTCAGAGGCCCCAATGCAACGGGGGGGCAGGGGAAATGATACATGAAACTCGTGTGTTCTCACGCGGAAGGCATCGTGGCAACACCGTAGTGCCACAACACACAAGAGCCATTGAACTCGCTACCCTCGATTCTTCGAGCAAACAACGCAATTGTAGTTGCAACCGCTGCAAGTAGACTTACCACCCATTCCATCTCGAAGCTTAGACCAACAACACGTTCCTTGCTGTAAAATTCGTATTGTGGTGAAATACGCCGTCTATGTTCAACACGGTACGGTGCTACTACTGTATGTAGTTTTGTGGACGAGATGGAGCTCTCGAGCCAGAAAGATGGAGATATCGAATCTCCAGCTCAAGATGTTGGTTCGCTTCTGTTACTACTATTACCCATTCGACCTAATGATGATGCAGTTAGTTGAGGAGAGGCACTATTGCCTTCGGTTGATCGTCTATCGTCTAATGGGACGAGACGACGGTGTGAGTCAAGGCCCACCGTTTGTTGCACGTCAGCCCACCACCCTTGGTTTCCGTCTGTCATCCCAAAAGCGGGAGACAAACTGCCTTTGGGGCGTGGACTGCGTGTGACACCATGATCATGAACCGAGCCTCGGAAAACTGTTGTAGAGCTTTCCAAACCTCGGACTTGGTTTTTTCGGAAGCAAGATGTTTTTAATCCGCTGAAAGGCCCGGCGCAATGGTGTATTTGGTAGTCGCCGACGTGAGGGGGCACAACGCACCCGCCGAGCAGAGGTAAATAAGTGAATCGTGTAACGGTCGAAAACCGACGGCGGCGTCCAGTGGCACTACAAGACTAGAGGTTAAGAGTGTAACCGTCGAAATGCGACCGCTGAAGCAACCGTCGAAAACCGAAGGCGGCCTCCAGTCTCACTACCACACTAGAGGTTAAGAGCGTAACCGTCGAAATGCGACGGCTGAAGCAGCCGTCGAAGACCCGACGGCGGCGTCCAGTCTCCAAGCACACAAGTTAGATGCTTGAGTTTTCCCGTGTACGAAGAGTAAGGTGACTTTCGCGAAGGAAAAAATGATACTTCAACATACTTACGAATGGATCTACAGCCTAGGCGTGTTGTATATAAAATAGAACACACTAGAAGGGGTATCGTAGTACTTCTTAATATTGAACATGACAAAGCGGCCATTCAAGCATGCGTTCAAGACAACTGCCTGAGGTATATCTACTAGAATGATTTCCTACACGTGACTTCCCTGCGCATCTGACTGCCGGGTGCGCCGGGGGGACCGCAGTGCGACCAACCAACCGCTGCCAACTGCAAGCGTCTCGCGCTACACATACGAGAAACGACCAAATCGCTGCGTCAACAGGAACAAAGGCCGCCGCAACAACACAGCGCAGCTACAAACCCCCGGCGGAAGGCGACTTTTGACGAGCGACACACGCAACACAAACGACGGCCACCCTTGTGGTAGAAAAATCGCACCGTGCTCGGCCTCTCCCCGGGAGTCTCGGTCGAACTAAATCCCGTCTAATTCATTCCGGTGGGATATTCGTTCCCGTCCAATTCATCCGGTCGGATACATTCCGACCGAATTCATTCCTGTCGGATTCCTTCTGGCCCAATCCATTCCGGTCGAACATATTATCAGCTCTCCTCGGTCGGGCTTCTCGACTGCTCTCTTAGGTACGACCGACCCGACCCCTTCCATCAAAATCCCACCAAAAACACGATTTCCCATCGCGTGTTGGTAGGTGGGCCGCATGTGTACCTACCTCTCCCTCGTAACCCCGCCTGTACAGGTCCTTTTTCTACGACGCTCCTCCTCGTGCCAGACCTCCCCGTGCCAGCAGCTCTTGAACGTGGCCGGGTACACACTCAAGATCTCTTACATAGGGGCAACACCACTCATCTACTGCTGTTCTAGAAGTAGGTAGTCCCGCAACAGCCCCAAGCACGGCCGACCCGACGCACACGTAGAAATAAACAAAACAATAAAAGACAAAAATGGGACGTACGTTACGTTAAACCGGAAACCCATCAACAGGAACACTCGCCGAATCTATCACCATCCCGCCCGTCCCACGTCCACGGTCACCTTGACGTCAAAATTAACGTCATCCCAACAACCAAATCCAACACACTTGCGATCTCCCAAAAGCCCGATCGTGCTTAAGCCTTCACTTGGGGGGGTTTCTTCCCACGGAGGCCGTCAATCTCGCTGCAGCTCCACACACACATCCAACACTCGCCCTCCCTCCCCTTCAAAGATGCACGAGCGTCGCTGCTGAACAGCAGCAACATCATCATCATCAGCAGTAGCAACAACAACACCGACAGCAGCAGCAGCAGCGGCGGCGGCGAAAGATCGACCGGTTGCGGGTGCGCGAAAGAGGAAACAAGCGGCCTACAAAGTCCTTACCTCTCTCCTTTCACACGGACCCCTCGAGCGCAACACAAAAAACACAAAAAACACACATATTGTGACACACGAAACAAAGGTGAAACCAACTCAATTTTCGATCTACCAACAAACCAGCGAACGTAGAGTGGTTATCTTCCGTACAAGAGTATCTACATTGCTCAAGACATCACCGCTCTCTGTCTCTCTCTCTCTCTCTACCTCCCTCCCTCCCTCCGTCTTTTGCCAGTTCTATCATTGGAACCTGGTGGGCACAAGGAGCGTGTCAGCGCCCCTGTGGCCCTTCCAAAGTACACTTTGACATCGGGAGACAAAGCGATTGGCCCGCACAACGACGGCACCTCTTAAGTCATTCAAGGTGAGTCAGACTCGAACGTGTCATTGAAGGTGGGCCAGACCTCCTCCTTCTGGTATACCGCCTTCTATCCCCCCCAGACTTCCACATTCTCCTATCTATGTCTTGTTATTATCTGTGGCTACTGCATGTGTTTGTGTAATTCTTTGTGGGCATCAAACGCGCTAGCTATATAGCCACCCTGACCAACGAAAAGACGTCAGTCGCCAGAGGGGAGAGACAAAACCATAGCAAATTGCTTCGTCATCCGCGACCCCCCACCACCACGTCCCTCAACTCCCGAAACAAGAAAAAACCGTCACGTTTAACCGTCACCTGTATTACCATACCCACGGGTTTGTGTGCGGGAAAGAATTAGTGGCGTGTATGTCCAACCAACAGAAACACGGTATCCGTGTCCTCAAACCCCTCGTTACCCAATCCCGCATCCTCAGGAGAGCAAAGCCCCTTCCATGGGAAACCCATCAACAAGCGCCTCGGGACCCCGTGAATTCTGGCTACCTCAGTTCCCTCCCCTTGCCTGCGAGAACCAAAAACACCTCCTTTAACAAACATCACCAAAACAAATATCTCAAGGGGATGCCGTGCATATCATGAACTCCTGCTCCCGCCACCGCGGGCTCCGCGTTGTGCAAGGACCAATAAAACACCACATCGGGGTCACGTGTGTGCCATACCCCCCCGTCCCCTCTTCCCCTTCGGTAAACTGCACACCACACCAAAACAACCTGCTGTACATCACCCAAATCCTCTCTGTAGGTAGGGCGCCGAGAGTTCCTGTACACCATCTCCAACCCCGGCATCACGACAACCCCACTCGGTGCAATGCACTTCGGCATCATAACAATCGATTCACTCGCTCGATTTAGGCATGTATGCGTGCGACACACGACCCCTCTCCCCCCCCCCCCCCCCATCTCATTTATCATCCAACGGCGCCCCAGCCTCTCAAAAGCGGGGAAAAAAAGCTGCCCCCCACGCTTCCAGCAGCGCAGGGAAAAAGCGACGTCTTCCCCGTTATGAGGAGGAAATATTTAATCCCGCTTTCTCCGGAAAAATGACCCCACTCCTGGGGGTGCGGGAAAATTGCGGAAACACGGAATGGCAACAAGTAAACATCATGGGGAGGTGGTCTCAAAAAAAAAAAATGCAGCAACCGTAAAAGCCGCAGGCCCGCAGCAGCCCCCA